GCTGTCTTCCATTTCTCAGGTAGTTGCCCAGTTTCAAGGGATGTGTTGAAGATTGTGGTTAGGGGCACGCACAGCATCTCTGCTCCTTCTCTAAGGACCCACGGGGAGATGTTGTCCGGTCCCATCGCCTTTGAGGTATCAAGGTCACTTAGCAGCTTCTGCACCTCCTCCTCAGTTGTTCGTATGTCATCCAACACTTGTTGGTATATTCCCTCTTGGTGTTCCCTTCTGTGCTGTCTTCCCACAGCCCTTCCTGTCTCTACTGTAAATACTTCCTTAAATCTCCTGTTTAGCTCCTCACATACCTCCTGATCATTTCTTGTGAGTTCTCCCCCTTCTGTCCTCAATCTGATCACCTGGTCTTTGACTGTTGTCTTCCTCCTGATGTGACTATACAACAATTTCGGGTCAGTCTTGATTTTCGATGCTATGTCATTTCCATACTGTCGCTGGGCCTCCCTCCTTACCTGTGCATACTCATTCCTGGCTCTGCGGCTGATCTCCCTATTTTCATGTGTTCTCTGCCTTCTGTACTTTTTCCATTCTCTATTGCACTTAGAATTTTGCCTCCTTACATCGTCGGGTAAACCAGGGGCTCGTTCTGGTCTTCCCATTGTTTCTGTTGCCCTTGGGAATAAACCTTTCCACTGCCTCCTTGCATTTTGTTGTTACATATTCCATCATTTTGTTTACTGGCTTTCCTGTCAGTTCTCTGTCCCACGGAACCTCCTGCAGGAAGTTCCTCAACCCTATGTAGTCCCCTCTTTTATAGTCAGGCTCCTCCCATTCAACTCCTGTTACTCTCTCCACTTGCAACTATGTATTCAAAGCACCGAACCACGTGGTCGCTAGCTCCTCTTTGTGTGCGCGTGGTGTGCGCGCGTGGTGTGTGCGTGTGTGTGTACTCACCTAATTGTACTCACGTAATTGTGGTTGCAGGGGTCGAGACTCAGCTCCTGGCCCTGCCTCTTCACTGATCGCTACTGGATCCTCTCTCTCTCTCTGCTTCCTGAGCTTGTCATACCTCTTCTTAAAACTATGTATGGTTCCTGCCTCCACTACTTCACTTGCTAGGCTATTCCACTTGCTGACAACTCTATGACTGAAGAATATTTCCTAACATCCCTGTGACTCGTCTGAGTCTTCAGCTTCCAGTTGTGACCCCTTGTCCCTGTGTCCCCTCTCTGGAACATCCTATCTCTGTCCACCTTGCCTATTCCCTGCAGTATCTTGTATGTCGTTATCATGTCTCCCCTGACCCTTCTGTCCTCCAGTGTGTGTGTGTGTGTGTGTGTGTGTGTGTGTGTGTGTGTGTGTGTGTGTGTACTCACCTAGTTGAGGTTGCGGGGGTCGAGTCCGAGCTCCTGGCCCCGCCTCTTCACTGATCGCTACTAGGTCACTCTCCCTGAGCCGTGAGCTTTTCATGCCCTGCTTAAAGCTATGTATGGATCCTGCCTCCACTACATCGCTTCCCAAACTATTCCACTTACTGACTACTCTGTGGCTGAAGAAATACTTCCTAACATCCCTGTGATTCATCTGTGTCTTCAGCTTCCAACTGTGTCCCCTTGTTACTGTGTCCAATCTCTGGAACATCCTGTCTTTGTCCACCTTGTCAATTCCTCTCAGTATTTTGTATGTCGTTATCATGTCCCCCCTATCTCTCCTGTCCTCCAGTGTCGTCAGGTTGATTTCCCTTAACCTCTCCTCGTAGGACATACCTCTTAGCTCTGGGACTAGTCTTGTTGCAAACCTTTGAACTTTCTCTAGTTTCTTCACGTGCTTGGCTAGGTGTGGGTTCCAAACTGGTGCCGCATACTCCAATATGGGCCTAACATACACGGTGTACAGGGTCCTGAATGATTCCTTATTAAGATGTCGGAATGCTGTTCTGAGGTTTGCTAGGCGCCCATATGCTGCAGCAGTTATTTGGTTGATGTGCGCTTCAGGAATGTGCCTGGTGTTTATACTCACCCCAAGATCTTTTTCCTTGAGTGAGGTTTGTAGTCTCTGACCCCCTAGACTGTACTCCGTCTGCGGCCTTCTTTGCCCTTCCCCAATCTTCATGACTTTGCACTTGGTGGGATTGAACTCCAGGAGCCAATTGCTGGACCAGGTCTGCAGCCTGTCCAGATCCCTTTGTAGTTCTGCCTGGTCTTCGATCGAGTGAATTCTTCTCATCAACTTCACGTCATCTGCAAACAGGGACACCTCAGAGTCTATTCCTTCCGTCATATCGTTCACAAATACCAGAAACAGCACTGGTCCTAGGACTGACCCCTGCGGGACCCCGCTGGTCACAGGTGCCCACTCTGACACCTCGCCATGTACCATGACTCGCTGCTGTCTTCCTGACAAGTATTCCCTGATCCATTGTAGTGCCTTCCCTGTTATCCCTGCTTGGTCCTCCAGTTTTTGCACCAATCTCTTGTGTGTGTGCGCGCGCCTTGAGGTGGCGAGTCTATCATTCTGTCTCATTCGTTTTACCTCGTTTACTCACCTATCACCCTACATCAAGACTACAAATATTCTAAAGTAATGAGTTTACTGTATATGCACTTTATCACTAGAGCATTTTAAATGTCGTAGTATATTACATACGAGTGTGGTGTCCTGGCTGGCTACCATACCTCCTACACCTGACTTCCTACAAATAAATACTACTCACCTTTAACCCTACATTAAGACTACAAATATTTTAAGGCATGTAATAAGTGTACCGTTTGTGTTTTATTTCTTATTTTATTTCTGAAGCTTGGGAGTGCCCATAACCCTAGTACTTATAAGTTAAATGATGTAGAACTTAGCCATACAGATTGCGAAAAGGACTTGGGGGTTATGGTGAGCAGCAACCTTAAACCAAGACAGCAATGCCTAAGCGTACGTAATAAGGCAAATAGATTACTGGGATTTATATCAAGATGTGTAAGCAACAGAAGTCCAGAGGTCATACTGCAGCTTTATACATCATTAGTAAGGCCTCACCTAGATTATGCAGCTCAGTTCTGGTCTCCATATTACAGAATGGACATAAATTCATTAGAAAACATTCAGCGTAGGATGACTAAATTAATACATAGCATTAGAAATCTTCCTTATGAAGAAAGATTGAAGACTCTTAAGTTACATTCACTTGTTAGACGAAGAATGAGGGGAGACCTGATCGAAGTGTATAAGTGGAAGATAGGTATTAATAAAGGGGATATTAATAAGGTCTTGAGGACGTCTCTCCAAGAGAGAACCCACAGTAATGGATTTAAATTAGTTTCAAATTTAGGTTGGATAAGTGCATGAGTGGGAGGGGTTGGATTTGAGTGGGACTTTCACATCAGAGCTTATTTCTTGGGTGGCATTGAAAATTGGGTTGGGCAAATGTTTTGTTAGTGGGATGAATTGTAAAGGGCCTGCCTAGTATGGGCCAACAGGCCTCCTGCAGTGTTCCTCCTTTCCTATGTTCTTATTACTTTTAATGCCTAGTTCTATTAATAACTTAATACATGTTAGTATAGTTATTTTATTTATATGCATTTATAAGTGGAAAAAAGTGACGTTCGGTTTCCAGGGGTAGCCTGAAACCTAACCTGCCGTGTAAGTGGGGGCCCTACTGTATTTAACCCCTTGACTGTTGCAACCCCAATCCTGAGGTGTCTCCTGGTGTCGCAAAATTTAAAAAAAAAAAAAATTTCTTATGAAATGATAGAGAATCTTTTCCCGATTGTAAAGACACCAAAAAAAAAAAAAACGAAATTTGATGGAAAACTGACGGAATTATGCTCTCGCGAAGTTAGCAACCTCGGCGATATTTACAAATCGGCAATTTCGCCCACTTTGAGCCCTATTTTCAGCTAATTCCATTATTCCAGTCAACCAAACTCATAGCTATTTCTTCAGAACTCCATTTTTTTCTATTGAGTGAGTACAAGAAACTGCCCATTTACAGATTTCAACTACCCAATAACATGGTCAGAAATTTGCAATTTGGCCAATTTCACGAAAATTAAAAAATTTGACAATTTCAAAATAAGGACCAGAATGAACAATGCAGACATTCCAAGCTCTAAAATAACATTTTCTTTGTTCATCAGTCACGTCTCCAGGCCCCTCTGATATTACTCTTGCTTTCTATTTTGAATTTTTATTCAAACAAAAAATAGAAGATTTACTGTTATGCAAAGTACTGCAATACTGTAATAATTGTACAAATAATGTCAACCCATTCATGACTGCATATTAGAATGGCTAGTTGGACATTTATTGGACAATGACATCATTTGTTTACTTTTGAACATCGGCAAAAATCAAACATTTCCCGCACTTTGTGCTCCATTTCCAGGTTCTTTTTATAGTAAAATTAATCAAAATCACCTCTATTTCTATATTTTCTATTCTATCAAATGAGACCAAGAAAACGAGAATACAACCATAAATACTATACGAAAATAGACCACAAAGTCGGCATTTTAATTAAAAAAAAACGGTCGGAGTTTTTTTCTCATTATGCACTGCGTGCTCCAGGATTTTTTTTTTTATATGGTGCACACTGACCACACAGACCCATTCTCTCACATGTGGGCCTACCAGCTTTCTCCTGCTTGATTTGAAGCTGCTGGAATTTATGAGTATACATACGTCAAACACGGTACCTCGTAAGACGTTATATATACGGCCGCAACAGTCAAAGGGTTAACATTATCAATTTATGCCTTATTTGGCAATTCCCATCATGTGCACCAAGGTATTGGGGTTATGGAATACAGAAATACTGTACCATTATCAGACTGTGCAGCAACCAAAATAGCTAGTGTATTACTCAAATTTGGCTTCACCGATTACCAGAACAAAATGATGTCCATTACTGTAATCGTTTTACTAATACAATTATAAAAAAAAATTTTTTACACTAAATCTGAATATATGTAAGGAAAAAATCTCCAAAGGACTGTCTGGGACAGTCACATCAACATGAATACTTAATTTGAAATGCAAATAAATGTACCCACCAAGCTTTTTAACAAGTTTTTTGTCCTTGTTCAGTTTCTTGAGGTCATCAGCAGACATGCATGGTAAATCATTTTCACTTGCTTCATCTATGTGCATCTGGTCTCCAAAAACACACACCTTCATCTTTGGCTTGGGAATGTGCTTCAACCTACCAGTAAAATTTAGGGCACGTTAGCCTATACAGAATTTAACATACAATTGTAACCTAAAGCCCTTAATTTATAGACAATTACTATTTTTTTTTAATTCAAAATATTAAAGTTCCTTTCAACATGCTATAACACTAACATTAAACTAACAACTTTTAGGTAGAATAACTAATAATAATCTAACAATTAGGCTTACAACAACAATTTTTAACCTTTAAACTGTCCAAGCGTAGAGTTACGTTCACTCGTGTAGCACTCCGAATGTAGATTGACGTTTTATTTTACACTTGAATGCATGTAAAATAAAACAGATCTACTTTCAGAGTGCTACGAGAATGAATGTAGATTTATGATTGGACAGTCTAAGGGTTAAACTAAAAAGGCATTAGGAAGTATTACAAGTATCTAAAGAACACTGACTTGTGGTAAATAAAAAAGAAGGGGGGGGGGGGATGATTTGAATAAATGCCAATAAGAAACTGGCTATAGAATGCAAGTATCTTACAGATACAATCTAACTACTTACAACTGAGAAACTCTGGTATTACAATACATGAAAACATCTTATTACAACAGTACTGTACAATCTTTTACTTACCAAATATTCCTTCCCTCAAGTCTTCAGGCACTAAATCACCAATAAAGGCTAACGGCAAGTTACTTGCCTCCCCAGTTATTTTAAGACCCTGGGTGTAGGTCCACCAAGGTTAACCTCAGCTCCCTAGACCTTACCATGGTCCAGCAGGGTATACCACCATTAGGGCAGCAAACTAGTTGCCAGTATCTAACCAGGATTAGAACCTAAGAACAGAAGAGCATTGCAACAGGCCTGCTAGCAATGATAGGCAGGTCCAACTGGCACCCATTCATGTAATACTTCTCTAACCGATCTTTAAAGCTACAAGGTTTTCACTTCATTGACACTAGTGTTTCACTTTTCCCTAATCTTGCCTCACTTAATACTGTTAATGAAAAACTCATAAAAATACTGACCTGGATGACTTATTTTGTACCACAAACTTACTTATTACATTATACTATTCACTGATCTACCCCTACCTCACCTATGCTATTTGTGCCTGGGGATCCACAACAGCAACTCCCCTAAGCCAATAACACCCCAACAAAAAGCTGCAGTGCACATAATCACAGTCTATTGCTAGACAACACACTCTCCCCCTCTTCAAAGACCTAAATCTATTCACCATACAAAACATTCACTCTTACTACTGTGCAACCTACATTTTCAGAATAAGAAATATAAATCCTGAACTGAAGCACTTTCTTGATAGTTGCAACAGGACCCATAGACACAATACTAAGCACAAAAATCACTACAACATTCTCAGTGTTCGGCTAAATCTCTTCGAAAATTCAAAGTACATAAAAGGGCCCAAAATCTTGAACACACTGCCAGAACACTCTAGAACCACTGACTCAGCCAGTATTTTCAAAACTGTTAAAAATCACCTTATGTCCCTAACACATCCCAGCATCAACTAAATATGTAAAAACTATAAATGAATATTTTCAGTGTCATGAACATACATAAAAAATTAAATATATATTTTAACTGTAATCCTCCCAAACCTGTACTTCTCCTCATTACACTTATTAAAGCTATATAGCATGAACTAATAGGATATTCAATTATTTTGTATTCATTGTAAATTGCCTAAATTAACAACTTATTGTTATTACCCTCTTAATCTTAAGTTAGTCTTAAGTTTGCCAGAGATGTTCGGGATGTATAAGGGCTTTTGATATGTACACTTAATGTCGTTCTCTTTTGTACAACCACTATCATGCTGAAATAAAATACTATTATTAATAACTAATGCTTTCCTGTATTTTTCCTAAACCTAAATTTTTCAACTTAAACCCCTTGCTTTAAGTCCTGTCTTGGTTTGATATTTTTAGCACATTTAAATTATTTATTCCTCCCTTGCATTTATAGACCTCATTCACCCCCCCCCCCCCCAATTCTACAACTTTCCTTTCCTAAGTGCAGAATCAGTGCCCTTAGTCTATCCTCTTAAGAAACATTTCTGTTATATGTAACCAACTATGACATCCTCTGCATGTTTTCCAGCACATTCATGTTCATTCCCTACATGACCAGAACTGCAGGCCATATCAAAATGAGGCCTGACCAAGGATGTTTGAAGTTTAACCTGACTCCTATTATTTATACCTTTTGATATGAAGCCAAGAATTCTATTAACCTTATTGTAAACACTTATGCACTGTTGTGTTTACTTTAAATTACTGCTAACCAGAACTTCATATTTATGGAGACCTACATTATTCAGTTTGCAAGCAGCACCATTCTCTTATCCCAGGTTGGAGTCTTATATCTGTCTACATTAAACAGCATCTGCCATTTCCCAGACCACTGCATTAACCTATCCAGGTCATCCTGTAGTCTGTGTCATCAAAATTGATTACGTATTTCGGTGTCTTCGGAAAACTTATGTTGTTGTTCCATCATCTATGTATATTTGTGAATAAAGGGCCCTACACTGCTTGTACTGCATCCCCACACTGATTTTTCCCCATTTACATTATCAGTCATTACTACTATCTCAAGAAGTGGAAATATTTTATTATAAGGCAGGAATGCCCTTGTAAAACCATGCCGAGATCCAATGATCAATTGAAGTATCAAGGAGACTTCAAATAGTCTCTGCAATTAAAGATTCCATCAATTTTCCCCAAAACGGAGGTTAAGTTCGTAATTGTTTGGATTGTTAACCCGGGGGAATTGGGGAGGGGGGTATTAACCACTAAAGATAATGCAAGAAAGTGTCAAGAATTCTGATTTTCATTAGTGTCCTTTAATTGTCCCCCAGGATGCAACCAACACCAGTCAACTAACACCCAGGTACCTACTTACTGCTAGGTGAGGAAACATCAAACATTTCTACCCATGTTGGGGATTGAACCAGACAGTGGAAAGCAAGTGCACTGCCAAATGAACCATGGGACAGCTTAGGCTAATTGGTCTAAATTCAAAGTTAATGACATTTCCTACTTTGTAGCTAAGCATTGCATTTGCCATTCTCCACTTACCCAGCACTATACTAGTTTGTAGCGATATGTTAAAAAGACTAGCTAATGATTTGCTAAGTTCCTCCTTACATTCCTTTATAACCCTGAGAACGGTTCATTAGGACCCAGCAGTTTCTTTGCTCCCAATTTTGAAATTAAACTATGAATTTACCTTGTTCCAGTACAAAACTTATATGACCACACCAACAATCTTTTGCAGCACTATACTGGTACAGCAATAGGTGTGCCTAATAAGCACTTGTTTGATTTTCATATTAATTAAAGATTATACGTCTTAGAAATAATTAAATTCGGGTTTAGCATCTCAGCTAAACTAATAATTTTTCCTCAAGCAAATTATTTTGGATTTTTAATTTTTTATTAAAGTCAAAGTTTATGACAAAATTAGTCTTAAATACATGTGGTGAATGAAGGATCAGTGTAGGTAAAACATATGTGGCCAGTCAGGTACCTAGTCTAGCAGCCCTGGCTGGCTTGCTCTGGCTGGCTTGCTCTGGCTGGCTTGCCCTGGCTGGCTTGCCCTGGCTGGCATACCCTGGCTGGCTACCCTGGCTGGCATACCGGCTGGCATACCTGGCTGCATACCTGGCTGGCTTTCCTGGCTGGCTTGCCCTGGCTGGCTTGCCCTGGCTGGCTTGCCCTGGCTGGCTTGCCCTGGCTGGCATACCTGGTGCATACCCTGGCTGGCATACCCTGGCTGGCATACCCTGGCTGGCATACCCTGGCTGGCATACCCTGGCTGGCTTGCCCTGGCTGGCTTGCCCTGGCTGGCTTGCCCTGGCTGGCTTGCCCTGGCTGGCTTGCCCTGGCTGGCATACCCTGGCTGGCATACCCTGGCTGGCATACCCTGGCTGGCATACCCTGGCTGGCATACCCTGGCTGGCATACCCTGGCTGGCTTGCCCTGGCTGGCTTGCCCTGGCTGGCTTGCCCTGGCTGGCTTGCCCTGGCTGGCTTGCCCTGGCTGGCATACCCTGGCTGGCATGCCCTGGCTGGCATGCCCTGGCTGGCATGCCCTGGCTGGCTTGCCCTGGCTGGCATACCCTGCTGGCTACCCTGGGGGTTAGGTCAACACTTACTTAACAGTGCCACTAAAACGTTTATCCTTCTGGGGGTCGTTTTTTTTAAGGCCTCTGCAGCTCAAACGGTCCCCCTGAATTCCTTTTAACTCCCTGGCCCCCCAGCAGAGCAGCGTTCACAACTCGAAAAGGTCTCTCTGCTCCCCTTTACGCAGACAATAACATTAACCTACACAACTTTTACTGAAAATATTTTAAATTAAAAAATATTAAGGCTCCAGGTGGAAAACATAATATAAGATGTGCATAGCCCTCAGAGGGGTCTAGCATCATAAGTACAGTACTAATACATCCATCATAGGGACACAGTGCAACCATAAATTTTCAAAAAATTTCATCTTTAATTGCAGTTTGTAAGGGTCCCTCAATCAAGAAGTTGATGTAATATACAAAAACCCAAAAAACACACGGGAAAGGGAAGGGGAAAAAAACCCCCCTAAAACTGAGGATTCCTGGTCTTTTTGCCTGGGGACGTGACTCACTAAAAGACAGCAAGATGGTGTCCCCTTTCCCCCCCTCCCCCTTCCTCCCTGCCTCCCCTCCCCCCCCCCCTTCCCTCCTCCCCCCCCCCCCTGTTCCCCGCCTCCCAGCCACCCCCTCCTTCCTCCCCCTCCCCTTTCCCCCCCTCCCTCCCCCCCCCTCCCCGCCTCTCCCTCTTCTCTCCCTCCCGCCTCTCTTCTCTTCCCTTCCTTTTTCACATAAATTTTAATTATATGTAAAGCTTCCTTTATTCACTAAAGAGGTTTCGTGAAAGTTAATAAAATCGTGTGTTATGGTAATATTTTCCAGGTTTTAAAGTGGAAGGGGTGTTATAAAAAATCAGTCAACCTTGGGGAATATCAGCCAGTTAAAAATAATAAAAAAAAAAAAAAAAATAATAAAATAATAAAATAAAATAATAATAATAAAAATAATAATAATAATAATAATTTAAAAATAATAAAATTTTCTAAAACACATTAAAAAGGAAAAGTCCCACGGCACACTGACGTAGTTATGTAAAGAACTTTTTTTTATATAAATTAGATTTACTTATAATTAAAGATCTCTGTACAATTAAGAATAATTTTTTTTTTTATTAAATAGTCAGTAAGCCAATAATGTTAAGTTGGCCCCTAAGCCAAGCATAAAAAGAGGCCTCTTTGTATTGCAACCCCCTTAATTTTTAAAATACATAAGCTCAAAAGTACTATTTGCAAAAAAAACAAAATAAACAATAAATAAATAAATAAAATAAAAAAATTTACTATATAAAAGCCCTTTGTTTGCAGAACATTTTTGCAATTAGGTCAATTTTGTCCCGGGATCGACCCCAACCAGTCGACAACCCCCCGGTACCTATTTTACTCAACTGAAAAATGGACAGAGGTACCTTAAGGAAATGCGCCCTAATGTTTTCATCTATACCGGGGATCGATCTCGGGATCTCGGTGTGTGAGCTGAGGGAAACAATACTGGGAAGCGCAGGAGACAGGAACTGCTACATAAGTACCAGACAGATATAGATTTAATTAGGTCTAAGGGAGGAACCCCGATTAAATGTTACACTTTGCCTAGAAGACGAGTAGGCAGCGACTGCACGTCTAGGACAACCTATAATAATAACATTTATTTATTTTCTGCAGTGTACAGGTAATGTAGTTGACATGTAATAAGATGTTATTAGGCACGAAAGAAAGCTGCTTGCTTGATGTGCATTTCGAGCATTGCTGGCTAGACTGATACTGCAAACATCTGGCAGTCCCATGCAAGGTGACTACAATTATAATACCTTGTAACATATGTGTAAATTACCTATGATAACCCATAAAAACAGACACAGTGACTTATTTCCATTATGTCCTTCAATAAGTTTATTTAGGTACAGGTAAACATAAGTACAATTATAATACTTAATAACATAGATAAATTACCTAGGTAACCCAAAAACGTCAAACTGACTTATTTATTACAAATCGGAAGCATTAATCAGCGTCTATTGTTCTCAAAAAGATGGTTTATACCGGACTTAACTATAAAAAACACTAATACAAAACTTCATTTCAAAATTAAAGACATACAATAATTTGAAGACTCAAGAGTAAAGTCAGAGGCGGCTACAGTGACAAGTTGTTCCACAAGGTACAGCACTCTCTCCCACCCTGTCCTCATCTTTATATCTGACACAGAGAAATAAGCTACAGCACCGTGTCCTCCTTTGCTGATGATACCAGAATCTGCATGACTGTGTCATTCGTCGAATACACTGCAGATCTCCAAGCGGACATTAACCAAATATCTAAATGGGCCGCAGAAAAAACAATATGAAATTCAATGAAGAAAAAATTCAATTACTCCAGTATGGAAAACTCGAGGAAATTAAAATTGGATCGGAATATAAAACAAAATCCAACCACATAGCAGAGCGAGAAACTAATGTGAAGGACCTGGGAATGATAGTGTCAGAGAATCTCAATTTCAAAGATCACAACAATGTATCTATCACATCCGCTAGGAAAATGATAGGATGGCCAATGAGAACCTTCAAAACTAGGGATGCCAAGACAATGATGACACTCTTCAACTCGCTTGTTCCATCTAAACTGGAATATTGCTGTACACTGAAGGCAAATGAAACTGCAGACCTTGAGAATATACAGAGAACTTTCATGACACATGTAAGTATAATAAAGCACCTAAATTACTGGGATCAGCTGAAGTCCCTTGATCTGTATTCCCTGGAACGCAGGCAAGAAATATACATGATAATATACAGTTGGAAAATCCTAGAGGGACACCAAAACTGCACATGGAAATCACTTCCTATGAAAGCAAAAGACTCGGCAAGCGGTGCAAAATCCCCCAGTGAAAAGCAAGGGCGTCGTGAGTACGCTAAGAGACAACAGTCATGTGTGAGGGGCCTAACACTGCTGACGTCAAGAAACGCTTGTCTTGTTTTCTAACAAACCTAGTACCTATCTACTGTTCAACTGCCCCCCAGCATTCATAAGAGGGATTAAACCAATAGACCCCTGACAGTCTTCAAGGAGCTGGACAGGCACCTGGAGTTTACCTTTAGAGAGTTCCAGGGGTCAACCCCCCCTCGGCCAGGTCTGTGACCAGGCCTCATGGTGGACCAAAGCCTGATCAACCAGGCTGTTACTGCTGGTTGCACGCAATCCAACGTACAAGCCACAGCCCGGCTAGTAAGGTACCGACTTTAGGTGCTTGTCCAATGCCTGCTTGAAGACAGCCAGGGGTCTATTGGTAATCCCCCTTATGCATGCTGGGAGGCAGTTGAACAGTCTTGGGCCCCTGGCACTTATTGTGTTGTCTCAACGTGCTAGTGACACCCCTGCTTTTCCTTGGGGGTATGTTGCATGGTCTGCCCAGTCTTTTGCTTTCGTAGTGAGTGATTTTCGTGTGCAAGTTTGGTACTAGTCCCTCTAGGATTTTCCAGTTTCCAGGTGTATATAATCATGTATCTCTCCCACCTGCGTCCAGGGTGCTAGCACATGTGGAACTACTGGTCTGCCACTACTGATACCTATGGTTACACCTGAATATGGGGATGAGTTTGTCATTTCTCCCAATACACACAACTACAACAGTCAGACGGACACCACACAGGTAACCCCCCTGGAAATTGGAGATGAGTCAGATGCACAGGACCTACCTGTAATGAATGATGAAACAGAGAACACTAATGTAACCATGGTACCTGTTAAGGTGATAGGTGTTAAAGAAAGCACTAACTCAGAAGTGCCATCCTCCGGAGAGGCATTGGATTCGCCTGACCTTCCTCATATTATAACAAATTTCCAGAAAAAAATTGAGCATCTTGAACAGATCCTGACAAGTTTAATAAATATATGTAATCAGGATGATGCTCTTGAGCATGGTGATGATGTCAAAAGTGCAGCAATCTCCGTTCAGCTTCCAGCAATTTGTGAGAAAGAAGCCCATAACTCTTGCCTTCAAAACTTGCCTTTTAACTGGCTGCCAAAATGCCGAAAAATGCTTAAAAATATAGGTCCTGAAGATAAAGACGTACAAACTATGCTATTTGCTCTTAAGTATCTGCACACTGTAGTCAAAGCATAATAGTTTTACCATCTTATGAGCAAGAGATTGTAATAACTCACTACAATGGATACATTACAAATCTTTTCATGGAACATTGCTTCCACCAGGAAGCGGTTGCCTGACTTACATCATATTAGTGCAACCAAGAATATTGATGTCATCTTTTTTGCAGGAATGTAGATTGAAAGATGGAGCACCTCCACCAAACTTGCCTGGATATGCACCTTATAACCTAAGGTCAACCAACTGTTGTGTGATGTATGTCAGAAAGAACTTGCCACATTCACTCCTTTCCTTGCAGAGTCGAGTTAACATGCAGTATCATGGTGTCAGAGTAAATGCAGGCAAATTTTTTCCATAAACATTTTTAATCTCTATGCCCCAGCGAACCACTTCGACCTGATGCTTTAACCAGATCGCATCAATAGTGAACCTACCATCATTCTTGGAGATTTTAATGCCAGACATAAGAATATTAGTGGGTCTATAACAAACGCCAATGGAACTAAACTAGTGAGATTGCTAAATGAGCATGATAATGTTCGAATTGTGGGCACTACTGAGCCTACTCACATATATGGTGGCAATACTAGATCTGTGTCTTGGATTTAATACATCATAACGATGCATGACTCTGTCATAGTTGATGATCTTCTATCTGATCACTTCCCAAGACTAACAACTGTCAATCTTGATCACATCTCCAGCAATCAAGGAGCTAAAGACAGAAGGAGGAAACTTATTCTCAAACCAGAACACAGAGACAACTTTATTAACCACTTGGATCAATGGTATAAGATTACGAGCCCATTGGCACACAAAAATTTAATGTATGATTTTAATTACCACTATTGAGAGTGTTCTCACAGATCAAGTGGGCAGGAATAGGAAACAAAGACCCTCCACTATAAATAACAATAAAAACCAATGTAAATACTATAATGATCCACAGCTGCACAATCTAACACATGCAGCTAGGAGGATTAGTAAAG